GGGTCTTGCTATGTAGTTCAGACTGGCCTTGGACTCACTATGTAACCTAGGCTGGCCTCAATCTCAAAATGCTGCATGAGTTTTTGTGTGACCCTATGTTTTCATTTATGCTGGGTCTTAGGGGAACCCTGTTTGAAGAGTTGTCAGAATGCTTTCTGCTGTGACTTGTATCTAGTTGTCTCCCCAGAGCCTCATGTGGTCTTAGGCAGGACTTTTTGGAAGTGGCTAGATTTAGGTTGTGTGATGCTGGGATTAAGGGTGTCCCACCTTGGGTATGGGCAGCACCAATCAAAAGGTGTGTACCCTGGATGGGATAAAAGGGAGAGGCAGGCTTGCTGTTGCTGCTTCTGCTGCTGCCTTCACCACTAGCTGCCTTTTTGCCTGCCCTGCTTTGCCATAGACTATTTCTTCTCTGTGATGCCCCTCTGCCATACCACCATCTCTTGGAGCTTGCTGGCTATGGACTGGAACCTCTACAAACTGTGAACTGGAATAAACGTTTCCTCCTTTAACTTTGGGTGTTGGGTATTTAGTCTCAGCAAGGAGCAAAGTAATTAAGCCACTTTCCAAACAGCTGTGGCACCTGACATTTTTAACCTGGCCGGTGTGGTGTGTGGATCGTGGCCTGACTTCGCGCCCTGTCAGGCAGTGGGTGTGGTGGGTGCGAAGCAGCAGGCTGTGTCTTCACTCCCCGTGCTGAGGCCTAAGGTCACCAGCTGGACTCTGAACCACCAGCAGTAGGGTGGCCGGGCCCTGGCAATGTCCACAGGTCCCATGGCTCATGACTGCCTGCTCCTCTCCACCCCAGCACCTCTGCCCCACCTCCACTGCCCCAAGGGGCAGCAAGACAGCCACTTCTGATCCACTGCCACCCACTCACAGCCCTCCCACCTCTGCCTTCCCAGGCTGGCTGTCACTTGGGCTCGGGCTCTCTTAATCTGCCTCCGCTGCTCATCCCCATTCCATATCTTCTCCCATCTTAAAACTTGCCTCTGAGCCAGGTACAGTGGCTCATGCCTGTCCCAGCTACTGGAGGCTGAGGCAGGAGGATCTCAAGTTTGAGGCCAACCTGGGGAACTTAGCAAGTCTGAAGACAAAAATTAAAAAAGAAACCACATTTGATGGAGCACACTGGTCATTCCAGCACTCTGGGAGGCTAAAGCAGGAGGCTCAAAGTTCAACCCCAATTTGAGTCTCTTCTACATGATGCCGCGGTCCACTTGGCCTGGTCCCCCTGAGGAGCCCGGGTTTGGTCCTCAGGCCTTGTCTGACCTGGCACCTAGGTAGCAGGTGGCGATGACTCCCTCCTTAGCCTCCAGAGACCCCCACCTGGTTCCCGGGGCACCTGGCAGCCTCCTACCCTCGGGTCTATTCAAGGAACATTATGCAACTTGGGTATTCAGAGCAAGCTAGGATTGTTAGCCAGTTCCCAGAAAAACAGGAGGTTCTCTGGTCTCTATGTCACAAGGCAAGGAGAGAGCAAGTCGCTAAGGCACAGAGAGGTTAAGCCATGTGTCTACCGTCACACAGCGGAATGGAGCCGGGGTGCCTCTCTAGGGTCCTGACTGAGGGTCTAGGCCAGTGGTGGTGAATTCATGACTGCGTGTGGTGGACTGTATGTATCACTGAAAGCTCTAAAAGGTTTACCACCGCTGATCTTAGGCTCTGGACCTGGCCTGGATGGACTCAGCCCCCAGTCTGGACTCAGAGTGGTTCTAATTGCACCAGCACCCGTGATCCCTGAAGTCCATCTCCTCAGGAACCTTGGGACTCCCCTGAGCTCTCCTCCTGTCCCAATAACTTGAAGTCAGGAAACCACAGCCCTCCTTCCCTGCCCCCCCAGGAGCAGAAAGACAAGACACAGGCCCCGCGTGGTGGCACCCACCTGTAATCCCACCACTCAGGAGGCTGAGGCAGGAGAATCACTGAGAGTTCAGTGCCTGTCTGGGCCACATGATGAGTTCAAAGCCAGCCTGAATCTCAGCGAGAGCTTGTCTCAAAAAACAAAACAAAACAAAACAAAAACAAAAAACAGACTGAAGTCCAGACACAGCCACTGGCCAATACACTCCCCAGCCCCTCCCTGGTCTCTGCTTCTGCTCTGGTTCCTGATGGTCAGCTCCCAGCCCTATAGCTCCAAACATCTCAGTGGCTGCGAGCAAAAATATGCTTTTCTCTTTTTATTTTTATTTTTTAAATTTTGAGACAGATCTCGCTAAGTCCAATCCTGCAGGCACAGACCACCCCTCACTTCACCTTAACTTCTCCTGAGACCACCCTGCCTCTTCATCCCATAAATGTCCCAAACCCAATCCTTGGGGAGGTAGGCAGATTTGGGTCTTGGGGCTCCCACCTTCTCATGTTTGGTTGCTTCTTGAGTAAATTTTCATTTGTAAAACTCATTATTTCAGTGACTGGATTAAGCATGCAGAGGGCAAAACAGGCCTGGCTGGGCCTCCCAAGACAGGGCAGAGGCTAAGTACTTCATAAGTACCTAGAGCTGCACCAGTCTCTTCCCAAGGTGCCCAGTTCAGCCCTTAAAACATTTTCCCTGGTGTGGTAGCACATGTCGCTCGGGAGGAGATGAGGCAGGAGGATCGCCGTGAGTTCAAGGCCAGCCTGAACTATTACAGAGTGAGACTCTGTCTCAAGAAACAAACAAACAAACAAACAAACAAAAAACTCCAACTTTTTTTCTTTTTTCTTTTTCGGTACCAGGGATCCAACACGGAATCCAGGCAGGCACCAGAACCACTGAGCTAAATCCTCGGCCCAAAACTCCAACTTTTAAAATTTGCCTATTTATTTTTGTACTACTGGGGATTGAACCCAGAGCCTTCACACTGAATTACATCCCCAGTTTGTTTTTTCTTTCATTGAATTTATTGATACATTTGAGGTATAAAATAGTTACATTCATCCTTGGGATCTCGTACCTTTATATGATGTATCTTGGTTCTTATTTTTTCCCCATTCCCCTCCCCTCCCTTCACCCCCTCCACCCTTCCCTATTTACGGAGACTTTGTTTCCATTTTTTCCTTTTCTCATATTCTTTTCTTTTCCCTTCTTTCCTTTCCCCTACCCTTCCCACTTCCCCAACTCCTTTAGACCTTTTCTTCCTATTTCACATTATCAATGATATCATTTGAACCTTATTTGCACTTTTAGTATTTCACACCAGAGAAACTATTCGGTATTTACACGAGTGTGTCCTATTTATTTCACTTAAGAGTATGGCCTTGATGTGCATCCATTTAGCTATAAATGTCTTTAGTTTCTCGTTCTTTATGGCTGAGTAGTACTCCATTTTATAGAAAAACCACATCTTCTTTATCCAGTCTCCACTTGATGGGCATTTGGGCTGTTTCCAAGTTTTAGCTCTTACAAACTGTGCCGCTATAAACATGGGTATGCATATATCACTGTGGTATGATTCTTTTAATTCTTTTAAAAGATACCCAGCAGAGGGATAGCTGGGTCAAATGGGACCTCTAATCCTAGTTTTTTGAGGTATCGCCATATTGATTTCCACAGTGTTTGCACCAGTCTGCACTCCCACCAACAATAAAGAATTTCTCCCCACAGCCCTGCCAACGTTTGTTATTGGTTGATTTCTTGATAGCAGCCATTCTTTCTGGAGTGAGGTAGAAACTCAGTGTTGTTTTCATCTGCATCCATCCCCAGTTTTTTGTTTTTGTTTTTGTTTTCTCTCCTTGCAAGGCAGGCACAGTGCCACTGAGCTACATCCCTTGCCCACTGAGCTAAATCCCCGGCCCTTGTTTTGTTTTGTTTTTAAACGGTGTCAAATGTTTATTTGAAAAGTGCAGGGTAATTGGATATGGGAGAAAACAGCTCTGCAGAGCCAACTTGGGCCAAAGAGAAAAAGAGGGTAAAAGCAAAACTGAAATTACACACTGCATCTTGAGTAACATGGTGCAGGCTACTGTGCAAACTCAAGTGCAATAGCTTACATCCTGTTTTGTTTTGTTTTGAGACAGGGTCTTGCTAAGTTACTAATTTGCCCAGGCTGGGTTCCAACTCCAGATTCTCCTGCCTCAGCCATCTGGAATGCTGACATTACATGCGTGGGCCATCACACACAGTTTACATTTTATTATGACATCACACAAAAGGGAAAGCTAAGGCTGGGGGTGGAACTTGGACATTGCACAGAGCCCCAAGAAAACTCCGCTTAAAGTCTGATGCAAAAATACACATAGACAGGGTGGGGGATTTAGCTCAGTGGCACCTCACCTGCCTCAAAAGTGCAAGTTTGTGAGTTCGATCCCCGGTACAAAAAAAAAAAAAAGGGCTGGGGATTTAGCTGTGTGGTTCCGGCACCTGTCTCCCAAGCACAAGGTCCTGAGTTTGATCCCCGGTACCAAAAACAAAAGAAAGCGAAAATCACATAGCCTACTAGGTTTCCTGACCATCCCTAGGAGCCAAGCTGACCCTTGACCCCACCTGGGCCTCAGTTTTCAGGCCCATCACTCCTGGGATTTTTGGGTTCGGTTTTGGTTTTTTGGGGGCGGGGGGGTACAGGGGATCAAACTCAGGACTTTGCGTTTGCGAGACAGACGTGGTGCCACTGAGCTAAATCCCCAGCCCTAGTTTTGTTTTGTTTTGAGACAGGTTCTCGCTACGTAGTTCAGGCTGGCCTCGAACTCGCGGTGACCCTCCTGCCTCAGCCTCCTGAGTGCTGAGATTATAGGATGCGCTGCCACTCCTTGGCCTCGTGAGATTTTTTTTTTTTTTTTAATTTGTACCGGGGATCGAACTCAGGACCTAGAGCTTCTGAGGCGGGCGCGGCATCACCGAGGTAAATCCCCGGCCCTGGTGAGATTTTACATTGCCACGGGGAAGCGAGAATTGAACGGTAACTACCACTCCCAGAGGCCTTGAGTCAAAATCACGCGAGAACTGCCGAGACGCGTGACTAAACTCCGCTCTCTCTCGGAAAATTTAGGCTGTCTTTGAAGCTGCTGGTCCCGGACGTCGCTGTATTCAGGAGTTTGCCTAGAACAGCCCTGCGCGGGGCGGGGTAATGGGGGCCTGATTGCACTTCGACGCAGGCGCAGTGAGCACTGGTCCTGAGTGGCGCATGCGTGGTGTTGTGCGAGCTGCGGCGCCATGGACGACGAGGAGGAGACTTATCGGCTCTGGAAAATCCGAAAGACCATCATGCAGGTAAGTAGCGCGTGGAACTTTGTTAAGCGGGAGCGATGTGGAGCGCGTGCGGTGTGTACTGCGGCCCATGCGGGGCCCCAGACCTTCCGGTCCCCGGCTTTGATCGGCCCTGTGTGGGAGGCAGGCGGGCTGCGCCAGACTCCGAGGGTCCTGAGTGTGGGCTGGAGGGCGGCGCCGCTTCGCCCCGGTTAGCCCAGTTTCGTCTCTCTCCTCTCCTGCATCTCCCGGGCTGCCGCACTGTCTAGCTTGGTCGTCACCGTTTTTCCACCTCCTCCTGCTGACTCAGCTTCTGCCCTTTGCCCCTCGAGACTCTCCTCGGGGTGGGGGTTGTGCCCCCAAAACAAAGACAGGACAAGCGGGAATAAGGAGCGGGCACACCCTCAAGAGAGCCCCTTGGCGATCTCTGTCGCGCTGCGCATCTTGTTCCTTCCTGAGCCTGGGGAAGGTTGCGTTTCGGAGGCAGCGGCCCAGGCGGGGATTTAGACGGTTTCCCCGAGTCAAGGTCCGGCTGGGTTGATGGTGCAGAAATCAGGCGAAGACTGAGGGTCAGCAGTCCTGGGCCTTGCCTACGAAATTGGGGCTCCTCGACGGCCGTGGTAGCGCATCCCTGTCAACCCCACCACACTCGGGAGGCTGAGGCAGGAGATTCTCCATGAATTTCAGGCCAGCCTGGGCGCAGTGATTTCAAGGCTAGGCTGAACTGCACAGGAAGATTCTGTCTCAAGGAAAGAAAGAAAAAAATCGGGGTTCTTAGGTTGCCGGTGGAACTCTGGTGAGCAGGGCTTGTCTAGCATGCACAAGACCCTGAGTTCCAACCCTAGCACCGAAAGAAAAAAAGAAAGCTAGGCGTGGTAGCACACACCTGTAATCTCAGCATTCTGGGAGGCTGAGGCAGGAGGATCTCAGGTTTGATTAGCAAGACCCTGCCTCAACATTAAAAAAAAAAAAAATTAGGGGTTTTTGAGTAGGTGGGCCAAATAAAAGACCTGGTGAAGGAAGAAGTCAGAGCCTTTTCATAACCTTGTCTCCTGCCCCTCTTGGTTGGTTTTTTGTTTTTTTGGTGCCAGGGATTGAACTCTGGTCCTTGCACCTGTGAGGTAGGTGGCAGAACTACTGAGCTAAATCCCCAGCCCTGTTTTTTGTGGTTTTTATTTTGAGATAGGGTCTTGCCATGTTGCCCAAGTGGGATGTGAATTTGGTTTCCTGCTACCTTAGCCTCCTGAGTAGCAGGGATGACAGGCCTGTGCCACCTTGTTTGTTTCTTTGTCTTGCTGAGGTCCTGTGCCCTAGTCTCACTTAGCTGTTTCTCTCTGCAGTTGTGCCACGACCGTGGCTACCTGGTGACCCAGGACGAGTTGGATCAGACATTGGAGGAGTTTAAATCCCAGTTTGGGGACAAGCCGAGTGAAGGGCATCCACGGCGCACTGACCTCACCGTGCTGGTGGCTCACAATGATGACCCCACAGACCAGATGTTTGTCTTCTTTCCAGGTGAGCGCCTGTCCTGGTCTTTGGTCTCGTAGTGTTCCCCAAGGGTCACAGCTCTGTGGTGTCAACTGGAGTGTGGCTTACGTACCTCACCCTTTGGCAGTCTCTTCCCCTCAGTCCTCATCTCCTGCCCCTGCTGGCCAGCCCTGAGTGTCACATGGGCCTACCTATGTCTCCTCTGCTCCCCAACCCAGCCTGGGCATGTCTGACCTGCCTTTCCCTGAGAGGTATGATAGGCTTCCTGGTCTGCCCATTTCCCACTGATTTCCCTCCTCAATCTGCCTGGCAAGCGTGCTGTGATTATCTCTTGAGATCCACCTTGGGTACCTTTTCCAGGAAACACCCTGCCCTCCTGTCCTGCCTCCCACCTGGGGCTGCTCCTAGGTGTCAGCCCCTCCCCCAGCCAGGCTCCAAAGCCCTGGAAGGTTGTTGGCAGGGATGTTGAGACACCTTGGAGACCCAGGTGGCACCAAGACTCTGGGACATGGGCCAAAGATGCATGGTAGCTGGCCCAGGTGGCTCTTCTAGAGCAAGCATCCCCTGTGTGTGAGATGTTTATCAGAAAGCCTGGTGCTGATTACCTGCCTCCCTGTGGAGCTATCTCCTCTCCTGGCCTCAGGGCCTCCGCAGGATCAGAGGTCTCACCTTGCTCCCTGGTCTCTGGGGGACTTTTTGGGAGTCACTGCTCCTGACAGGACAGGATTGAGCTTCCTGGCTGTTGGTACAAATTGTCAGACAGGGCTTCAAATGCTGACATCTATTTCTCACAGTTCTGGAGGTGAGAAATCCAAGGCCAAGGTGTCATCTGGGCTGTGTCTTCCTGAGGCCCCTCTCTTGGCCAGGAAAGGGTACCTTCTCCCTCTGTTTCCCCATAGTTTTCCCTAATGATCTTATTGTACCTTAATTGGTTTTTTTTTTTTCTCTTGTGGTAGTGGAGATTGCACCCATGATCTGCACAAGCTAGGCAGGTACTCTCCCACTAAGCTGTGTCCCCAAGCACTTTTTACACACACACACACATATTTTGGGGGGGGGGCAGGGTACCAGGGATCGAACTCAGGACCTTGTGCTTGGGAGGCAGGTGCAGTACCATTGAATTAAATCCCCGGCTCTTTTACTTACATTTTTGAGATGAGGTTTCCCTAAGTTGTCCAGGCTGGGTCTAAACTTGTAATCCTTCTGTCTCAGCCTCCTGAGTAGCTGAGATAAGAGCTATGCATCAGCAGGCCTGGCCTCTGTTTTTTTTGTTGTTGTTATTTTTTTTTTGTACTGGGGATTGAACTTGGGTCATTGTGCTTGCAAGGCAAACAACAGAACCACTGAGCTAAATCCCCAGCCCTTTTTTTTTTTTTTTGTACTGGGGATCTAACTGGGGACCTTGCGCTTGTGAGACAGGCACTGGAACCACTGAGCTAAATCCCTGGCCCGATTTTGATTTTTTCTTTTCTTTCTTTTTTTTTTGGGTATTAGAGATTGAACTTGGGACCTTGTGCTTGCGAGGGAGGTGGCAAAACCATTGAGCTAAATCCCCGGCCCCTATTTTGCTTTTTTGAGGCAGGGTCTCTCCATGAGTTTAGGCTGGCCTCAAGCCCACTGTGTAAGCCAGGCTGGCCTCTTTAAGTGCCTCAGTTGCACTCACATTCTGAGGTCCTGGGTGTCAGGGCTCTGGCCTATCTCTGGTGGCCCAGGTGGGTGGGGCAGGGGCCTGAGGAAGGAGCCTGAGGCAGAGGCTGAGCAGCCGTCCCTGTGGGAGCTTGTCCCAGCCCCTGGGCTCTGGGGCCCCCAGTTCAGGGCTGTTCCACCTCCCCAGCAGCTCAGCCAGCTTCACCCCAGTGTCTCCCAAGCCCCACCCGTTGGGGCACCAATCCCATCCTCCAGGAAGGGGTCCCCAGGTTACGCTGGGCCTCCTGGGGTCCCTCTGGTTCCCTCATGGTGCTGTTGAGGCAGCGAATCCTATCCTGGGATCCTGCTGCTTGGCTCTGAGCAGGGAAACTGTGGCCCCAGAAGGCCACTGGTGGCCTGAAGCCAGGCTAGACCCCTGGTGCAGGGCTGGGATGGGGCTGCCGGGCAGAATGTCAGCACACATCTGTCCCCAGAGGAACCCAAGGTGGGCATCAAGACCATCAAGGTGTACTGCCAGCGCATGCAGGAGGAGAACATCACCCGCGCGCTTATTGTGGTGCAGCAGGGCATGACACCTTCTGCCAAGCAGGTAGGCGCCCGAGCCACACACCTCGCTTCCCCTGCTCCCCCCTTGGGCCCACTGTGCCATGCCCTTGCCTTCCTGGGCATCAGGTCCTGACACAGCTTTGGGGACTCAGACTGTCCTGCTTGGCAGTGACAGGCAGCGTCCTGGAGGGCCTAGGTTCCCGCCCCCTTTGCCTAGTGGCCAGAACAGGGCTAGGGTCCCTGTCATGTGCCACTGTTTCCCATGTGATATTTGGACAGAACCGACCTGGTGTGGACTTGTAAGGACAAAGGGTGGCAAGCTGTCCTGTCACTGGCCAGCCTGGTCACCACTGGTCATGTTCAGTGGTGCCACTTTATTGGGGAGGGGTCTCTGGGCCACAGGGCAGTCTGACAGATCAGAGGGTGCCAAGGCTCCATGCTGGCTGTGACCCCATGCCAGCTCTGACACAAGGCCTTGGAAGTGTTCAGAGGGCCAGGGTGAGGGGTGTCACACTGCAAGACATGCAGGCCAGGTGCTTCCATCCTGATCTGTGCTGGGGGTGCATGGAGGCGCTGCTGTCCAGACCATGTGTTGCCTGTGTCCCCCCCACAGTCTCTGGTGGACATGGCGCCCAAGTACATTCTAGAGCAGTTCCTGCAGCAGGAGCTGTTGATCAACATCACGGAGCACGAGGTGGGGCCCACAATGGGCAGGGAGAGGGAGGGGCACCCGGGTTGGGGTTCCTGACCTGGAGCTGCTCTTTGTGTGGGCCCAGGCTCCCCTGCATGTGGTCGGGGTGGGGGACTCACCCAGGGTTCTGCTAACACCCCCTGAGCACCATGTGGAGGTTCTTGCCCAGTCTGTGTGTCTGAGGGGTCACCTGAGGGTCTGTGAATTCTTATTGGTATATTCATTTCGGCAGCTGGTACCAGAGCACGTTGTCATGACCAAGGAGGAGGTGACAGAGCTGCTGGCCCGATAGTATCCTTTCAAGCCCCTGGGCTACCCCGTCCCCTCCCTCCCCCGTCTTGTCCCTCTCCCTCCGGGCTCCTTGAATTCCTGCCCCAAGAGCTAGCCAGCCTTTTCCCTGACGACTGCCCAGTAAACTCCGGGAGAACCAGCTGCCCCGCATTCAGGCAGGGGACCCCGTGGCCCGCTACTTTGGGATAAAGCGAGGGCAGGTGAGTGGCTCCTGGGGAACCCTTGCATCTGCCCACTTGAGGCCTGCCCTTCATCTCTCCCAGCAGCCCTTCGGGAGCCCTGGCCTAAAGGATCCTCAGGGCCACGCCCCCACCCCCTTTAAAGTCAGGGCTGCCTGCGCCCAGAGAAGAGAAACCCTGGGCTTGCCAGCTGGCCTTCGCCCACCTGCAGCTTAGCCCCCAGCCCTGTCCCATGGCCCTGCAGGTGGTGAAGATCATCCGGCCCAGTGAGACAGCGGGCAGGTACATCACTTACCGGCTGGTGCAGTAGCAGCGGAGTGGGAGGTGAGAGATGGATGGACAGACAGCCCCTGCCACCCGAGGCCCCTGTGTCTTGGCCACGGTTGGGCTTTAGCCTCTTTGGAGGTCAGGGCCCGCCTGGCTCACATGACTGTCACCTCCCTTCTGGCAGCCCCTGCAGATGGACAGATGGACACAGTCTCAGTCGTCTCCTGTGGAGACTGCCCCAGCCTTCTTGCTGCTGCGCCTTTGGGCTCCCTAGGACAGCAGCCACTGTCTTGGTTTACCTTATCTGGATGAGGATTTCAGTGGCTGCATCTGGCTGAGGCCTCAGAAAGGACATGACTCTGTCCGAGGAGGCCACCTGGGGGCAGCTGATGTGAGCCCTGGTGCTGGGACAGCTGGCTCTGGCTGGGCTGTCCATGAGCGCCTGTGGCCTGTCCCACCCAACCTCCTGCATCCTGACTCTGTCCCTGGACTCACTGCAATCAGCAGGGTGCAAGGTCACAGCTCAATTGAGTTCTGAGTTGAACAGAACATTGTGTGTTCTAAAAATTAAGGCTATTTTGAGTAAAATAAATTGTTTCAAACACCAGGGCCAAGTCCTGGCTTTCCTCGGGGTGGCCTCGACCTGAGCCTCAGGGTCAGCTGGCGGGACCTGGTTTGTAGGTGGATGCCCCACCGCCCTGCCCTGCTCCTGTGGCTGCAGGTGGATCTGTGCCTGGTCCCCTGCAGGAGCTCATCTGCCCTTTCCAGGTCAGTCTGTCTACTTCCTTCTAGTGTCTTATTTCAGAGGCTTTTGTCTGCATGGGGTAACAGTTCAGTTTTGTTTTGTTTTGTTTTGTTTTATTCTGGGGATCAAACCAAGGGCCTGATACACCAGCAAGGCACTCACCCCGAGCTACGCCCTCCTCCCAGTTCGTGGATTTTCATCAGCTCATAAGATGCTGCAGCCCTTCTTCATTTCTAAATCCAGAATATTCTGTTATCGCAGTAGGAAGCCCTGTTCCCATGAGCAGTCACCCATCCCCTCCCCACCCCATCACCCACAAGGCCACTTCCTGTCTCTGAGGTTGCCTGTTCTGGGTGTTTCCTGTCTGTGGAGCCCACGCTGTGTCCTCTGTGCCTGGTCTGTCAGCAGGCTGTGTCACGGCCTCACTCTTGTCCTGGCTGAGTGGGGGGCTGGAGCACCATATGTGTTTCTGTTCCTAAGTCGTCTTGTGTGGCTGTTTACAGCTTCCGGCCACAGAACAGCACTGCTGTGAACACATGTGCAGGTTCTCACATGGAGAGGTGTTTTGTTCTCTGGTGCACACACTGTTGGTGTCACAGGCACGTGGTGACTGGGAGGAACACCTGAGCCCCACTGTCTCACACATTTATCCTGCCATGCCAAAGCTTGGGTTCCTCAGCCTCCAGCCCCTGGTGCTTTTGGTCACAGCTGTCCAGGTGGTGGGAAGGGATCTCCTGGCTTGGATTCGCTTTTCCTATCAGCTAATAGGGTTGAGCACCTTCTCTTTTGCTCTTTGGCTGTTTGGATAGCATCGGTGGAGAGGGTCTGTGTACATCCGCTACCTGTCATCTCATCGGGTTTCTTTATCTTATTTTTTGAAACAATGTCTTGCTAAGTTGCCCAGCCTGGGCTTCCATTTGCTGTCTTCTTTTGTTTTTTCGTTTGTGTTGTTTTTTGAGACATTCTCCGTAGTTTAGGCTGGCCTTGAACTCATTGTGTAGCCCAAGCTGGCCTCAAACTCAAAGTGATCCTCCTGCTTCAGCTTCCTGAGTGATGGGGTGACAGGTGTGCACCACCACCTGGCTTTCCAAAAGTTTTTAAAAAATACTTTCTAAATACCTAGCAACGCTGGGCATGGTGGCACAACCCTGTAACCCCAGCGGTTTGGGAAGCTAAGACAGGAAGATTGCCAAGGTCAAGCTCAGCCTGAGCAATTTTATTTTTTACTTTATTTTATTTTTTTTGATACTGGGGATCGAACTCAGGTCCTTGCGCACGTGCAGCAGGTGGCAAAAACACTGAGCTAAATCCCCGGGCCCCTGAGCAATTTTATAAGACCCTGTCTCAGAATAAAACATGCATGGAGATGTAGCTCAGTGTCTAAGCCTTGGATTCAATCCCCAGGACTGCAGAATAACAAGAACCCAAAAAACCATTGTTACTTTGGGCATGTCCAAGTGGGGCTTCAATCTCTTTGGAGCCCACTTCTGGTACCCGGTGACTTGGGGACAGCCTGGCCTGGGCAGACCCCAGTCCAGATGCTTTGCTGAAGCAGATGAGTGAGTTTACACACAGGCTGTCTCGGGAACCTCTCTTCTCTTCCACGGATCTGTTTAGGTTTGTTGAGTTTTATAGAACACCTGACAGGTTCAACAAGTTTCCTCTTTCTCTGCAAATATATAACACAGTTTTACAAGGTCACCTTGGTCAAAATAAGCCAGACACAGGAGAACACGCACTGCAGGGTCCCACTCCCAGGAGGCCCAGCGTGGTCAGATCCACAGGGACAGGAAGGAGGATGGTGGTTCCAGGCTGGGGAGGGCACGAGGGAGTCAGCGTTTCCTGGGACAGAGCTCAGCTGGGGAGATGGAAAGTCCTGGAGATGGACAGCGGGGATGGCACAAGGCTGTGGGATGCACCCAATGCCACTGAGCTGTGATCTCGGAAATCGTTAAGGTGAGCTGGGCACAGTGGCATGCATCTGTAATCCCAGCACTCAGGAGATGGAGGCAGGAGGATTGCAAATTCAGGGCCATCCCGGACTACATACATAGGGAGACCTTATAGTGAATTTACAATCTCAGTTTTTCTTGAGTATTTTGTACATGCATTTGGAATCATCTCTGGCAAGGCCCAAGAAGATCGCTTTGGCATTTTGTTTGTTTGCTTTGATTTTGAAGCCTGGCGAGAGCATGCTTTGACTTCAGGTGCCAGTAGTTAGCTTCCAGATCTTCAAAAGTGAAGGAAATTTGCTGTGTGTCATCTCCCACCTCTGGCTTTCTTCTTTCCCACCAAGCCCTGCCTGTTCCTAGTTCCCAGGATGGCCCAGGAGTAGCCATTGCCCAAGCAAGGTGGACAGGACTATGTCCAGCTTCGGGCTCCTGGGGTGACAATAGAGGGGCCCTGGCTTTCAGGAGGCTCCCTGACCACCACTTCGTGGGCACCAGGGTCAAGCTGGGTCGAGCCTTCCCTGAAGCTGGTTCTAGCTGTGAAGTCACAGGAATTGGTGAGCTGCCTGTGAACTGGTGCTGGTGTCCTGGTTCTGTGTGAGGTGTTCAGAGGGGTGGGATGATGCTCAGTGGCAACCATTGGCCTAGTATGTGAGATTCCAGGCTACTGCCCGAGCACCCTCCTTCTAAAGAAAGGAAAAAGCAGCACTTCAGCCACCCTTGCTGGCTTATCCCGGCAAGGAAGGGATTTTCCATGATGTTTATTCCGGCTTTGCATTCTTTGACATTTGTAAAAGGCAGATCAGGGGTTGTACTGAGGTATGTACTCAGCATACTGAAGGCCCTGGCTTCCATCCCCAGCACTGGAAAAATAAAATATGGCTAGGTGTGGTAGCATAGGCCTGTCATCCCAGCACTCTGGGAAGCTGAGGCAGAATAGCAAGTTTGAGGACAGCCTGGACTATATAGTGAGAACCTGTCTCAAAAAACAAAAAAATAAAAGATAAAGGGCCAGGGTGTAGCTCAGTGGGTCACCCTTGGGTTCAGTCTCTAGTACTGCAAAAATAAAGAACAGTTGAAGGTCAATAAATTTTGTTTTGTTTTGTTTTTTTGAGATAGGGTCTTGCTAGAGTTCAGAATGGCTTTGAACTCAATAAGCCCAGGCTGGCCTCAAACTTGGAGGGATCCTCCTGCCTCAGCAGTCCCAAGTGCTGGGATTACAGGTGTGCACCACCACACCTGGCAAACAAGATGTTTTTGGTAAAGTGTCAGTAAATACTTTCAAGTTCACAGACAAAGCAATCCCTGTCAGTTCCTCGACTCTGCTTGTGGCAGAAATGACAACCACAGGCAACCTGCAAACCTGGGCTGGCTGTAGGCCAAGGCGTCTCTGTTTACCAGAGCCAGTTCTGAGCCCCTGTGACCTGTGTGTCCTCTTCCTCTGAAGCCTCTCAGTGTCGCCCTTTGGTGTTGAGGTTTCTGGTCCGTGGCTCGGGTTTCGCTGCAGCTTTCTGGTGCTGCTGTTCAACAGGAAGATCAGGGCCCTTTGTGTATCCCACCGTTACCATGAGCGGCCCCAGTTCTGCCTAGTTCTCTACCGCGGACAGAGCTGCCGCACGCCTGTCATCCCAGCTATTTGGGAGGCTGAGGCCAGCCTGGGCAACTCAGCCAGACCCTGTTTCAAAATAAAGTGCTGGGATGTGGCTCAGTGATGAGCCTGGGTTCTATCCTGAGCATTTCAAATAATTTTTTAAAACAGGTGGCAGTTGTCTTCCCAGGGCTCAAGAGCTGGGTCTGGCTGTAGCTCTGAGCTCAGTGTGCAACGCTCAGTTGCATTGCCGGCACCCCACACAGAATGAATAAAGTAACTGGAAGTTGCAACTTGTACTCCTGCAAGCCCACCGGCCACATTCCCAGCTCTTGGTAGCCACGTGGGGCCGGCTGGGGACCTGGCAGCTGGAGAATGTGTCCATCATGTGGCCAATCCCACTGCATGCCCCTGAGCTATAAGCCACACAGAAGGGTTGCCCGTGTCCAGCACCACGCCTGGGGTCACCACCCTCCGCAGCGAGGACACCAAGGACATTGCTGTAGGACCTCTGTCCCCTCAGCCTTTGTCCCCCTACCCCAGCTGTCCTCACAGAGAACACCAGATTAGCTGGGTGCAGGAGTACACATCCTAGCACTCTGGGAGGCTGAATCAGGAGGATTGCAAATTTAAGCCCAGCTAGGGCAACTTAGACCCTGTCTCAGAATAAAAATTAAACACTAGTGTGGTGATGGATCCCAGCCTGTAATCCCAGCACGGTATGCTAAGGCAGGAGGGTCGTCATGAGTTCCAAGCCAGCCTAGGCTATGAGGTGTTTCAAGGCCAGGCTAGACCACATAGTGAGACCCTGTCTCAAAAACGTAAATAAATAAAAATTAAAAGAGCTGGAGGTGTAGCTCAATGCAAAGGCCCTAGGTTCAATTCCCAGTGTCATCAAAAAAAAAAAAAAAAAAAAAACCCACCAGATTAAAAGGTTTATTTTAAGCAAAAAGAAGTTTGGGTTTGCAAGAAAGACGTGGCCTGTGAGGGACTCCATTGTGTACCTAAGCCCAGGTGTCCAGTCCAGCTTTACAGAAAGGTGACAGCTTCCTGGAGCCAGAGCTCCAGTGGTCGGATCAGGGTCAGCAGTGGCCTCCCTGTGGGGCCTGAGTCCCAGGGAGGCCAGGCCATGGGGAAGGCGGTCATGGGGCAGGGCTGCTTAGCCCTTATGGCAGTAGGTGACTTCCCCAAGGCAGGAACCCCCAGCTGGGCTGAGCTGGGCCTGTCTGCATGGCAGACACAGGGTGGACCCCAAGCCTGCTGTCCCCAGAGAGGTGACCAGTGTGGCCTCAGCTGTGTGTGCATCCAAGCCCAAGCCCCCTTGGCAATGACCCAGGGCAGGCCCAGGGCCCTCCAGAGGGGCAGGAGAACAGCCAGCAGTGCAACATCCCCACCCAGTTCAGACGAACTCTGGCCGCCTGTGTCCACAGCTGGCCCCTGAGATGCACTTGGTGCGGAGCCTCATGGGCAGCAGCCGGGCAAGCGCCACATTGTTGGACTGATTGGTGTTGTATGTGGACAGCTGCTGGGCTGGGCCCTCTTCATCCTCATTCCCCAGCTGCTCCTCGCTGCCACTCCGGCTTCGGGGACCCTCCTCTGGGCTGGCCTCCCCTTCCTGCTTCTCCAGGAAGCTGAGGCGGTGCAGGGCACTGGCATCTGACAAGGACAGGGAGTCCGAGGCTTCCTCTAGCTCTGAGTCAGAATCATTGGATGCCACTCGGGATTCTGGGAAAACCGGACAGAGAATGAGGGGTGCTCCCCAGCCACCAAAAACTGAGGCTGTCCCCAGTTGAGTCAAATTCCCAGGCCCCACCCCAGCCCCTGCTTCACATCTCTTTCTGTCTGTTCCTTTCCATGGTACCGGGGATTGAACCCACATTGAGCTACATCCCCAGATTTATTTTTTATTTTGAGACAGGGTCTCACTAAGTTGCTGAGTTGCCCAGGCTGAGCTCGAACTTGGGATCCTCCTGCCTCAGCCTCCCAGAGTGCTGGGATGACAGACATGTGCCACTATTTCTGGCTCATGATCTGTCTCTTGGACACCACACTCCGTCTTCTGCACTTGGTGCACAGCATCCCCTGGGGCCCATCTTGGCCACCACTCACCTCGGCCCCTGTCCTCCTCCTGCAGGGCATAGGTGGCAGCCTCCCTGGCCTCCAGGTAGGGCACTGGCACCACCACCTCTGAGCGCTGGCTGCTTGCCTCGTCCTGGGGGTAGGGGGTGTTAAATTACAACAAAACCCTAAAGGATTAACTCCAACTGCTTCCAGTTGTGGCTGTCTGCAGCTCCAAAGACAGTGCAGTGCTCACGGGGCCTTTGGACACCAGGGCTCTATTTTCATCCAGTTCTTTGCTAGAAAGACCACCCAGCAACCTCCCCAGGTTCCCTGTCAAAACCAAAGCTCTCGCAGGGCTGTGTCCATCCTTCTCCAGCACAGCCCTGGGTGAGACCTACCTGTGCCCTGAGTCCCTCTTCTGGCTCGTCCTCAAACACCAGGCTATAGTGGACGATGAGGGTCTCGATGACACGAGCCTGGTGGGGGTAGTCTACCAGTGACGACAGGGAGACAGTGGCTTCGGTGGGCCGCGGCCGCAGCAGCGTAGGCCCGAACACGATGCCTAGGTTCCCAGGGGTCATCTTGTTGTCCTGTTCCACCTCCACAATCCTGTGGGCAGGGAGGGCCCAGGGTGTGTCAGTGGCCCTGCGGAATCCTGCCACCCCAGACCCCTGCCTGGCGGCCTTCACCTGCGCAGGTGCCGCAGCAGGTACCGCAGCGTGGCCTGGTTCTCCGGGGGCAGGTCCCGCAGCAGCTCCCGCAAGCGCCCCGCCATGGCCATGGCCGCCGCCTCGCTCTCAGACCCATCCTGCCGGGCCCCCCGGGATGCTGCCTTGGCCTCAGCCTCTGCCTTCAGGCTGTCCTTGGCCAGCCCTACCAGCTCGTGATAGAGGCGGAAGGAGATGAGTGGCTCCGGCAGCTGCAGGCCAAGGGAACGGGATCTGGTCAGTGAGACTGGACTAAGGGAGTGCACACCTGCTAAGGCCCTGTCCCTCCTGAGCTCTGGCCACGCCCAGCCGCTAGGTTCCACCCACTGCAGGCTGTGACCCTGGCCCCAGCTTTAGAGCAGCCCGCCATGGCCACGCCCCTGAAGGGCTCTAGCCACGCCCGCCCACCACAGCATCTGACCACGCCCCCAGCTCAGCCTCAGACCTCCTCCGCCAAGACTACGCCCCTCCCAGCCTCTGGCCATGGCCAACCACTCTAGGGCCTGAAATCAACCCAGCACTGGCCCCGCCCCCTAGACCAACAATCCCACCTTCAATCTGACTCACCTGGCGCAGGTAGAGCTTGAGGACATTGCTAATGTCATGGGGCGAGGCCTGTGATAGCTCCACCAGCTCCTGGCTGGTCTCAAAGGCCTGGCACAGCTTCTCCACACGCGTCTTCACCCCGTTGACCCGGTAGATGCCCTGTGGGGTGGCAGTGAGCCCCCGCCCACTGGCTCTTGCCCACCCCTCCACCCTGCTCCCTTCTGCTCCGCCCTGGGTCTCCAGGCCACCTTGGTGCGCAGCGCGCGCCGCTCGATCTCACACAGGCACCTCTTCACGATGAACGGGATGCCATCCGGGGTACCCCAGGTCGCGCGGCTGAAATCCTGTCCGAAGAGCTGAAGGCGGCCCTGCAGCTTTTTGTGGCCACATTGGATGGCCAGGGTCTCCAGGCACTTCTTGTGGCAGGCCAGACAGCACTGGGGGAGGCAGGGAATGACCCCTGGCCCCTGGGGATGCCCAGACCCACACAGATGCCAGATCCATCTGCCCTCCCCTCTGGACTCCTCATAATCGCCTGGTACCTGCTAAAAACACGGGCCCTTCTTGCACCCCTGGACCCTGTTCACTCCTCCCTCCAGACCCTTTTTCTTCTTTTGAGACAGGGTCTCACTATGCAGCCCAGGCTGAGCTCAAAGTCAGTGATTCTCCTGCCTCAGCCTCCAGAGTTCTCGGATTATAGGAGTGTACCACTACAGGCAACCAGTACCTCTCGTTCTTTCTGCCACAGCCCCAGGCCCATTGCACTGGCTGTGCCTCCGTCCACCTGTTCACCCCCAGCCTCTCCCCCAGGATACCCAACACTAAAAGAACTTCCCACTCCCTCTGTTTGCTGCTCCCCCTTCCCTCCTGTACTGGGGATTCAATCTAGGACCTTCACATTGAGCTATATCCCCATCCCTTTTACAAATTTTTTATTTTTGTTTTGTTTTTCTGGTACCAGGGATCGAACTCGGGTCCTTGTGCTTGCGAGGCAGGCAGCAGAACCATTGAGCTACATCCCCGGCCCCCTAAAAATATTTTATTTTGAGAACAGGGTCTTGCAAACACAAAGGTCTTGCAAAGTTGCAAGCCTCCTGCCTCAGCCCCCAAGAGTGCTGGGATAACAGGTGTGCGCCCCACACACCTCCTCACACTCAGCTCCCTGGAAGTAGACATAGCTGTTACATTCCCGGCACTTGGCCGGTGTGCGGAGCTTCCGGAGCCGGTGCGTGCGTGCTGCCTTGGACAGCCCGACATGGCGAAAGGGCCCACTGGGCACAGCCACTGGCAGCTGGGGGGCCATGCTGTTGATGTCATCTGTGGGCAGGACGAGGAGTCCGTGTCACCGAGGCAGGAAGGGGACAGACCCAGACGGAGACCACGTCCACACCCCCCGCCCCTTTCCTGCGCGGCACAGGCCCTTCTCACCCTGTTCAAACTCCGCTGTCCCTGCTCCACCCTCTTGGTCCACCAGCTCCTCACTGGATGACACAGTGCCACTGGATGACATCCGCTGGAACTTCTTAAAGTCCCCTGGCCGGGAAACAGGGCTGTCAGTCCCAGTGTGAACAAGACCAAGGGCAGGCTGGACACTGTCACTTTCCCCTGGACAGGAGGAGGGACAGGTTGGCCATCTCACCTGAGCCGTCGCTGGGGGCCAGGCTGCCGTCCGAGTCTGAGACTGAGATTGGCCACGACTTGTGCACCTGGTGTCCCCGTCCCCCTGGGGAGGCAGAAAGGGGAGTCTCCTGTGAAGAGCTGGAGGGCCACAGGGAGCCAGTGCCCACCCAGGATGCCTGCCAGGGCTCACCCCTGTGGTCTTTGGCAGATGTCCCTTCACTGGGCCCTCCTTCCTCTGAGGGGCTGCTGCTGGTGGCCTCTGTCCCCAAAGTGTCGCCAATGTTGAAGCTGTTCTTCCGGGCACGTGTGACAGGGGACCTGGCAGGGGACCCAGGCAGAGTGAAAGGTCACGATGGTGGCCACCCTGCAGGGCGTGCGAAGCAGGGCTCTGGGGCAGGGACTCGCGGTGGTACCAGGCGTTGGCAGACACATGTGGTTCGAAGTCGTAGCGCACATCGGGCTCCTCGCCACGCTGCAGCTGTCGCACATGCGATGCGTACTGCTGGCCAGGGTCATAGAGCTTGCTGCTCTCACACAGCATCTGGAAGTGCACGGGCAACGGCGCCGTCTGCATGTGCATCATCTGGTAGTAGGAGATGGTGGCCTGTGGGCCCAGACGGAAACAGGTCAGGAGCAGGCCCGCAGCCGCTTCGCCCTGGGCCACACACCCAGCGACGGCCACCCACCGACTTGATGGTCTGGTCGCTCTGGCGGATGACCTCCTGGATCTGCCGCAGCGCGGTCACCTTTGTGTCCTCCAGCTCCTGTTTCTGCGTCTTAGCATCTGCCACGCACGTGCGGTACGTGGCCATGGCTTCATCCGCCTGGAGGGGGTTGGGATGGGCACATGCAGGCTCAGCCCTGGGCTCAGGCCTCAGCCAGGAGGTGGCCAGGCCTGAGAGAGAAATCTCCAGAGAGCTGGGCATGGTAGTCCACTCCTAATAGCCCAGCACTGGGGAGGCTGAGGCAGGAGGATCACCAGGAGTTCAAGGTCAGCCTAAGCTACATAGGCCAGCCTGAACTACATAACAAGACCCTATCTCAAAACTAACTAAATAAATAAATAAATTCCCAGCCCAGGGATTTAGCTCAGTGGTGCCATCACTTGCCTCTCAAGCACAAGGTCCTGAGTTCGATCCCCGGTACCAAAAAATAATAATACTAATTCCCAGAAGGAGCCAGGCAGGAGAGGATGGGAAAGGCATTCTTTATTTTTTTTTCTCGCCCCTTTTTTATTTGAAGATACCATACTCTTCTTTTCTTTTTTTTTTTTTTTTGGTAGCAGGGATCAAACTCGGGTCCTTGCGCTTGCGAGGCAGGCGGTGGAACCACTGAGCTAAATCCCTGGCCACCCCCTTTTTTTATTTGAAGTCAAGGTCTTGCTAAGTTGTCCAGGCTGGGCTAGATTTTGAGATCCTCCTGCCTCAGCCACCCAGAATGCTGGAATGACAGGTGTGCACCACCACACACACTGGGAAGGGCATTCTTGGGAAGATGGGAAACTGCATCCCTGGGTCTCATCACCACCACCCTCACCTTGTTCTTGGCTTCCTCCTCCAGCCGCCGCCGCTTGTCCAGCGTCTTGGAAGCTGTGCTGCCCGCCCCAGGTGAGGTGGCCGCCTGCTCGTCCTCGGCCTTGGCCACTTGGAGGCGGGCCTTGTCGTGGTCCTCGCAGCGCTGGACATAGCTCTGCTTGGCCTTGCGCAGGTTGGCCTCGGCCTCTTGCTGCAGGTGTGGGAGGAAGGGACTGGCTCCAGCCTAGCCCACCCAGTCTCTGGCCTCTGGAAACCCACAGCCCACTCTGGCAAGCAGAATAGGTGCGCATTTCTCAGCCAGGGAGACTGAGACACGGCTCAGCTCTGCTTCAGACAGTAAGACTCACTGTCATCCAGCCCCCCCACCCCGGAAGGCACAGGCTGGTGCCTGCACCTCAGCTGATTTCACTTCCCTTCCGAGAGATGAAACGGGCCGCCCAGGCCGGAAGTCGGCAGCCATGAGGCTCTTCAGGAAGTGCTTGGCCAGAAACTGGGGGGTGGGCAGGGGGACCTCACAGCCCTCTAGACCGCAGAGGCTTCAACATTCAGAAGAGAACGAGGTGTGCTAGGGTGCAGCTTGCTTGTGCTTAGCCTGGGTTCAATACCACCACCACCCAGAAAAGAACTAGTGCAGTTAGTAAGGTAATCATTAAAAATAACCCTAGTGAGGGCCGGGGATTTAGCTCAGTGGTTCCGCAACCTGCCTCAGGAGCGCACAAACCCGAGTTCAATCCCCAGTACACCCCCCCCAAAAAAATAACACTAGTGAGGGGAAGGCCTTTTTGGATGAGTGACACAAAATGTCATTAAAAAAAAAAAGCGAGGGCCAGGGATTTAGCTCAGGGATTCCACTGCCTGCCTCAAAAGTGTAAGGTCCTGAGTTCAATCCCTGGTACCAAAAAAAAAAAAAAAAAAAATCGAGGGCTGGGGATTTAGCTCAGTGGTTCTGGCGCCTGCCTGAAAAGCACAAGGTCCCAAGTTCCAGTTCAATCCCCAGTACCAAAAAAAAAAGCGGGCCGGCAATGCAGCTCAGTGGTGCTGAACCTGCCTGGCAAGCATAAGGTCCTGAGTTCAATCCCTGGTACCGAGAAAAAAAGGCTGAGCTTCGTGGCACACGCTTGGCATCCCATCACCCTCCTGGGAGGCTGAGGCAGGAAGATCACAAATTCGAGTCCAGGCTGGGCAATTTAACAAGACCTGGTCTCAAGTACAAAACATTTTGTTTAAGACAGAGTCTTGCTATGTAGTTCTGGCTGGCCTTCAACTCACTATGTAGCCTAGACTGGCCTCGAACTCTATGATTCTCCTGCCTCAGCTTCCCAAGTGCTGGGATCTCAGGTTGCTGCCACTATGCCCACCTTCCATAGTGCCTTTGAGGCATCCGGGAAGAGAAGCGAGGAAAGAATACTACCCAGAAACTTGGAGCCTATACCTAAGTGAGTGAGCCTCAGTTTCCCTCCAACCTGGGAACCCTCTCAGTGTAACCCCTGGGACAGGCCATTTCTGAACCTCTGACCAGCGAGGGCGCACGGTCTGTGCAAGAGCACTGCGCCTGCGCAGCCACCCCTCCTCCCCACCCCGGCTCCTACCAGCTTCCGCTGTGCGCGGTGCCAGGACTCCTTGATCTCCTTCCTGCGCCTCTCATGTTCCAGCCGCCGCAGGGTGAGGGGCTGGGGCGAGACGGGACATGAGTGGAGACCCCGGGGACGCACCCACCAGCTGCCCTCCATGCCCCACAGCCCACCTGCATGAAGGTCTGGGTCTGCAGTGTGCCCACTGCCTGCACCATGCCATGGCCAAACTCCAGGTCCTGCTCCAGGGCCAGCGAGTAGATGGACAGCAGGGGCATGTGGGGCTGCAGGGAGCGATCACTGCATCAGGGAGGGATGGGGACAGCGGAGGGCCCAGCATCCCCAGGTGCTACCTCCCTGCCAACCCCCTCCCTGGAGTACTGCAATATCAGGACCCACATTTTTTCAGAAATTGTACTGGAGATGGAATCCAGGCCCTTTGCACTGAGCTGCATCACAGCCCTTTTTATTTTGGCACAGGGTCTTGCAAAGTCACTTAAATTGCCCAGGCTGGGCTCAAACTTAGAATCCTCCTGCCTCAGCCTCCCAGAGTGCTACGATTATAGGTTACACCATATCACACCCATGATAAACTTTGAGGCTTTTGTTTTGTTGTTTTGTTGGGGGTTTTTTGGTACCAGGGATCGAACTCGGGACCTTGAGCTTGCAAGGCAGGCGCCAGAACCACTGAGCTAAATCCCTGGCCCTGTTTTGTTTTGTTTTGGTACCGGAGATCGAACTCAGCACCTTGAGCTTGCCAGGCAGGCGCCCTGCCACTGAGCTACATCCCCGGGCAAGATTTTTTCTTTTCTTATGTTCTTCTTTTTGTGGTTTTGGGGATGGAGCATAGGAGCCTTCTACCACTGAGCTACATTTCCAGTCCTTTTTTATTTTGAAACGGGATTTTTCTAAGTCACTAAGCTACCGAGGCAGGACTCTGGAACTTTCAATCCTCCTGCCTCAGCCTCCCAAAGTGCTGGGATGACAGCACCCACACTATAGAGGGAAGGACCCTGCCCCGTGCCTGCTCGGAGCCCACCTCGTGCGTGATGTTCTGTCTGGCACCATGGATAAGTTTCTGCAGACCTTTGGCGAGCTCCATCTCTGGGGGTGTGAGGGGGCGTGGTCACGCGGGGGTCAAAGGCTCCTTCCTGCCCCTCCCACCAGACCCTCCACGCATGCGCTCACCCAGCGCAGTCCGCTTCTCCAGGTAGCCAATAAGGTCCTTCATGTACTTGGCCATATTCTTGGCGTACTGCAGAGCCGCGTCCACGCCGCCCTCGCAGCGCTGCAGTAGCATGTCCACTTCCTCCGGGGGCGGGCAGCCTGCGGGGCGCCTGCTCAGCTCGGGAGCCGCTGGAGAGTACGCCCCCCCCCTGCCCTTCCGCCCCCGGGGACACTCACCCTCCTCGCAGTCCTCGGCGCTGGGCGGGGAGCCCTCGCTGCCCTGGTACAGGCTCTCCATGGACTGCTTGTGAGGGGACACTGGTGTGACCTCCCTACCCTGACACACCCCGAGGTTCCCGGGTGACAGGGCGGCCCCGCTGCCCTGCTCACCTGGCTGGGGTCCCCCGGTGGCACGGCCAGGAGTGTGCTGCTGTCCACCTCGCCCATGAGGAACTCAGACACACTGCGGGGCAAGGGGGTCAGTGTCTGGGGACCCACGGCACCCCCATTCCCTGCCCCTGGCTCACAGATGCCCCGCTCACGTGCTGCTGAAGGATACTGCAATGGTCTCCAGGGCCTTCTCGAACTCCCTCTTGTCCGACTCATTGTTACATTCGTAATGGAAGGCTGGGCGGCAGAGACGAGACACACTGTTGGCCCACACTATCCTTGTAACTAACTATCTGGTCTGAGCCTTTAGCCCAGAGGGGGAGCATCAGGGACCAATTGTGCCTGTCAAACTCCTATCCATCCTTGAAAACTCACTTCAGATCACCCCTCCTCTGGGAAGCCCTTCCAGGCCCGGCTGCCTTTGCTGACCTTTAACCTTGGCGATGAGTGTGCCTGCAGCAGTCAGTGTCTCCACAGTGTTCAGCAGCGGGTACTTGGAGATAACCTGGCGCATCACACGCAGGGCCTCACCCAGGCACTCGTGGGCCAGCGGCCGGCGGGCCTCCAGGAGATCTGCTGGGCAGAGTGGGTGTGAGGTGGGAAGAAAGGAGGATCATTTAACACCGAACAGCTCTCCCATCTCTGCCGGCTACCAGTGTGAGGGGGGCCCTCCCAGGCTTCAGCTCCTGGGCCACTGGAACGCATAGCAGGTATCAGAGCAAAGAAGAGGTGTGGTCACATCTTCCTGGTGCACCAGGACTTTAAATGCCCTCCCCAGATTCTCTAAATTGGAAGATTTTTTGAACAAACATGGTATCTAGCATGGCGCAGTGGTGGTGCACATCTGTCAACCTAGAACTCGGGAAGCTGAGGCAGGAGGATCTCTGGGAGTTCCAGGTCAGCCCTGGCTACATACTGAGACCCTGTCTCTAAAAACCACAGAATGGGCCGGGGATTTAGCTCAGTGGTTTCGCCGCCTGTCTTGCAAGCGGGAGGACCTGAGTTCGATCCCCGGTACCAAAAAAACAAACAAACAAAAACCACAAATCACAGGAATTTGTGAAAGGGGCCAGGATGACCAAAGACATGGAGACCCAGGAGTGGGCCAGATCCTCGCTGAAGGCCACCTCTGGGAGATGGTGCGTCCACTTGGACCTCGGTGGGAGGCAGGCTATTAGCTGCCCACTTGGGAGAGGGCGGGACCTCAGGAATCCGGGAGCCCCCGCCCCTCCCCGGGCCATTCTTTCCCCACCTGACCCCTCAGGTCTCCAGGGCCAGGGCCACCAGGGGCCCCACACGTCTGCCCAGCCTGGAAGCTGGCTGCAGGGGCAGCTGTGGAGTTTGGCCCTGCGCCTCCAGAGCCACGTGTGCCACACCGGCCGGGGCAGACTGGGGGAATGAGCCCGCACTGAGCCCTCACGTGGGGGCCGCGCCCGGCAGCTCCAGGGGCCATTGTCTAGAGCTGGATGCCTGGTGCCACAGATGCACATGGCGCGGGTCGGTGAGCAGGGATGGGGGTGCGGGACCTGGGGTTCAGATGTCCCCCCGCCCCTGTGTCCTGCAGGCCTGGGCCCGGGGTCCTGGGCTCCCCCTGCTCGTGGTTGGAAGGAGTCCTGGCTGGAGCTGTGGCATTCCATGTCAGGCAGATGGAAGACAGATGGGGAAACTGAGGCCCAGAGTCCAAGCCCAAGGCGTGAGAAGGCTCAGCTGAGGGGCAAAGTCTGTGGACTGCACCCACCTGTGGTGTGAGACCCAGAACAATCTCAATGTCCTTTGGCCACCTGGTGACCCACACATCAACACTGCAGGGCCTGTGATCACCATCCCATTTCTTTTATTTTGTTTGGTGTTTTGAGACAGGATCTTTGTATGTCATTCAGGCTGGTCTGGAACTCACAGTGATCCATCCTCCTGCCTCAGCCTCCTGAGTGTTGAGATTACACCACCATACCTGGCTCTCTTTCTCTCTCTCTCTTTATTTTTTCTTTTGCGGTACTGGGGGTTGAAACCAGAGAGACTCTTCCATTGAGCTACATCCCAGCCCTTAATTTTGAGACAGAGTCTTGTTAAGTTGCTAAATTCCCCAGGCAGGGTTGAACTTGGGATTCTCCTGCCTCAGCCTCCCAGAGTGCTGGGATGACAGGCGTGCATCCTGATTCCCACCCCATCTTGAAGACCCAGACAGAGCAGTGGGTGGTCCAGGGTGTACCAGCCACACACACTGGGCAGCCTGGGACTCTAACCATATCCCATGCCCCTTCCTGAGAGGCAAAGACCCCCTAGCCCCTCCAGAGTACCCGCCCACAGGACGCCCCTGTCCGCCCCGCCCAGGCCAGGCCTCCAAGGAAACCCAGGATCGGAAAGGAATGGAGATTAGAGTTTCCCCAGGAAACGGACCTCCGCCCTGGGACCAGATAACCAAGGGGCTCACACCCTCCCATCAGGGGCGCAGAACCCCCTCCATCACCCTGTAGGCTGGGATTGAGCCTGCTGGGCCTCAGTTTCCCCACTGTGGAATGGGCGGCTGAGGGGAAGCCATCAGGGCGCTTGGCACTGCGGTTTCCATGATCACTGGTGGGGCCTGAAGATGGCACATGAGATGCTGTGCCTGCCCCAGCTCGAGGTGCCTGCCTGGCTGCCAGGGACAAACAGGAAGCAGATGAAAATAACTCAGCAGGAAGCTGGGCTGTCATAGCCCCTTGGAGGAAAAAACGGAACTATCTATCTCACAGGCCCTCCTGCCTGGCACATGCACTCCTGGGGTTCTCCACCACTCAGGCCACCTCCAGTCCACATGGTTCCAAATGCAGAAGGACCCTACACAGTCCTCTTCTCTAACACCTTGTATGTCTCCCTACTGCCCATGGGATAAGATCCGGGGTTCCTCAGATTGGCCTTCTCATTCTTCATCCTCGTAGGCCACATACCTTTGAATGCGTTCTGCATTTCCATACTTCTCAGCTCGTGCACAGGACATTCTCTCTGTTCCAATTCCCTTGCCTCCACGTTCCACCAAACTCCTACACATCCCTCAGAACCTTAGCTGTAATGGCCTGGTCCACACAGCCCTCTCTGCAATCCAAGTCCTTTTCTCAGTACTTTGTGTATTTGGCCCTGCCTTCCACCCACCCAGGCTGCTCACCATCATGCAATACACACTCCTTGAGTTTTTCCAGACCCTCTGCGAAGCGAGCCACATCAGCCAGCAGGTTTGAGATGTCATCCGTGGCCTCGGTGCCAGGCCCCTCGGTGGGCACCTCTGCAGGGCTGGCGGCTGTCAGGGGGCTTCGGTAGCCCCGGCCTAGTGTCCAGGAGCCAGCGCCAGAGAGTGGGAAGCCAGCAGCACTGGCGTGGCGACTGAGGCTGGTGGGCCGCTTCAGGGTGGCTGTGTTCTTGACACCAGAGGACGTGACCGGAGGCTCCAGGCCGGGTCCAGGGAACACAGCATCAAGCCCATCTTTCCTGGGCAGCTCCTGGGAGGGCGAAGGCGGTCAGTGGAGGGGGTGCCACATCGTGCACACTGCCTCAGCTTCCTCAGAAAGGCAGTGGGGCCCTGGAGGGTCTTTGGCCCCACTCCACAGGATCAAAGGCCGGGTTCAAGGGGCTGAGATTTGGGGCTGTCCCCCCTCCCCCCGCCACCTGTTACCCAACATCCTCTTCCCTGGCGCTTTCACAAACAACGGTCCCTGCCCAAACCGCAGGTGGGCGGGGCCTGTGGAGGGTGTGGGGGAGGGGCGCCCGGCTTCCGGGTGGGGCTGAGAGGATCCTCGGCCCTCCCCCACCCCGTCCCCACCCGGTCCCCACCCCGTCCCCACCCGCAGATGGGGTCTCTTTCCAGGAAAGGCAACTCGAGGATCCCTGTATCTAACCTTGGCGTCCAGTGGACCCCTAAGTCCTGGGGCCACCCAGGGGGCTCCTATACATGCATCCCAAACTTAACGGGCACCCCAAACCTCGAACCTCGCAGATACCCCTAAGATTCATAGACACACCCAGGTCCCCCGAAGCACTCAGACCTCGGTAGCCGATGGGTCCCATTAAATGATCCCCTGTAAGCCTTCAACCCAGTGCCAAGACCCCGTCTCCCAACTGCTCCTGGGACTCCCAAGCTCCTGAGCCCCCACGGCCTCCCCCCGACACCCCCCCTTCCCTACCCACTCTGGACTTCTAAAGGGTGCAGGTCAGGCGGCCACACCAAGACCCCCATACCGATAGCCAGACACCCGGGTGCCAGGCTGCCCTTGCTGGTCCCCGCTGTTCTGCCTGCCGGGGGCTGTAGCTGGTGCGGGACCCCAGGCGCTGACCCAGCATGGTGGCAAGGTGCTGTCCCCTCGCGCCCTGCGTCTTGGCTCCAGCTCCGACCTGCTCTGAGCCCTGCGTCCTGCGCCCCACTCACCCCCGACGGCTGCGGGCTGGGGCTTCCCGCGCGGTTCTTTTTGGAGATGGAAGGGGTTTTCATGAGCTCGCGTTTCTTCCTGGAGAACATGGTGGGGCCGGCGGGGCAGCCCTGGGAGGGGGCGCGCCGGGGTGGGGCAAGCGGGGCTGGGGTCCTCGGTGCTGGGCTCCTGGCGCAGGCCGCCCTCAGGCCACATTGCCGCGGGCCACCCCTCCGCAGCTGTCACGCCCACGTGACAGGCTCGGCCCTCATTCGCCGGCGACCCAGTATAGGAAAGGACTCCGGAGGCGGTGCCAGGACCCGCCCCCCACCCTCCCGGCCTCAGCTTGTCACTCTGCAGTGTGGGCGCGAACGTTGGTCCCCGACGCCCCGCCCCGCGCCCCAACCCTGGCTTCCGCTTTCACGAGCTTCATGCTTGCGCGGTGGGGAAACAGACAGGACGTGCGTCCTGCTTGGCACGCGCGCCCTCAGTGGGCACCGGGGAGGCGGGCATGCACCGCGGACCGCAGGACACTGACCCTCCCTCGGGCACAAGCACCCAGGTGCGACTAGCAGTGCGCAGCCGGCTTAGGGTCGCACGCCTGTCATCCCAGCACTCGGGAGGCTGAGGCAGGAGGTTCGCTTCGAGTTCGAGGCTGCCCAGGGTTACATAGTGAGTTCAAGGCCAGCCTGAACTCCATAGAGAGACCTGTGTCACACACACACACACACACACACACAAAAGGGCTGGGGATGTAGATCAATGCAAAGATCCTGGGTTCAATTCACAGTACTGGGGAAAACAAACAAACAGGAGTGCATAGAGCACACATGGGGACACAGATTTGCACACACACTCAGATGCCATGAAGCTCTGCAGATGAGACAGACAGAGCTCCATGCTCAGCTCTCAACTCCAACAATGGCCAAACTCCTTCTCCCTGCAGACTGACCCACTGCCTCTGCAGGGGAAGCGCTATGTCGGAGGAGGTGTCTCCCCAGCTCTCTGCCCAGCATCCACAGCAGCTTGGCTCAGCCGCCCACCTCCCGCTGTCCTCCCAGGTACGTGGTGGAGCCTCAGGACAGGGACCAGACATAGGGGTGACAGGACACACAAGAGAAACTGGTCTCACTGCAGGAGCCATCAGTCCCAGAGCTGAGGCATCTACTGCTTTGCTGACCCCTCCCCAAACCTGTCCTCCTGGCTACAGACTTCTTTCCTTCCCCAGTCTCAATCCTGTCCTATGATTGAAAAACCCAGATCTGGGCATGGTGGCACATGCCTGTCATCCCAGCATTCTGGGAGGCTGAGGCAGGAGGACTGCAAGTTCCAGCTATGCTGTGCAATTCAGTGACTTAGCAAGACTCTGTCTCAAAATAAAAAAAAATAGTTAAGGCTACAGCTCAGTTCAAAGGCCCTGAGTTCAATCCCTAGTATAGCAAAAAGCAAAAACAAAAAAACCCACGTTACTCTCCCCACCCCCACCCCTAGATATCCAAACTGACCTTTGGAGGATGGGGTGCCTGTCTGGGGCACAGGCCAGGAAGCCCACAGCTGCCTGTCCCAAACCCAGCTCTCCAGGCCTTGGTCCAACCACACACCCAGCCCAGCAGCCCCCTGAGGACCATCCGATGCCCACTCATTGCTCTGGGGCAGGTAAGGCCAGAGAGCAGAGGTCTCCGCGCCGGCAGGAAGGCAGGTGCTCCAGGCGCTGCTAAGGCACCTGGGACATTCCGGAGCCCTGACCTCATCTCCACTTCACAGTCCAGAGCACTCCCAGCCACCACTCTTAGGTGCCAGGCCCATGGGGGCACACAGGGACCAAGAGACAGGACACCAGGCTCCTGGGGGGCCCCATATGCCTGCCACAAGACCCACAATGTCACCACATCTTTCCAGCCTTCTCTTTATTACTCCAGGGGCTTGGGTTCAGTGGGAGCTTGGTCCAGCTCCTGGGCCTTTCACTTCCCCTTTGGTTTTTTTTGTTCATGTGTTTTGAGTCAGGGTCTTGCTATGTAGCCCACACTAGCCTTGACCTCACTATGTGGCCCAGGCTGGCCTAGGCTGGCCTCCAACTCTCAGATCCTCCTGCCTCACCCTCCTAAGTACTGGGAAGACAGATATGTGCTCCCATGCCCAGCAACCTGGCCTTTTTTGTTCTGGCGTTGGGGGCCTCCCACCAGCCCCCAGGACAGGGAGGCTCACAGCACTGTCTCCGCAGTGCTGGGGTCATCAAGAAACCAGCTTGAGGTTCGTTTGGGGCACTGCAGGCCTGGTGTGGGGTCCACCCCCACCTCCACTTCCTCCTTCTTGTCCTTTTCCTCATCTTTCCCCTGGTCCTTGGAGAAGTACAGGAATACCTGGCCCAGAGAGAACAGAGAGAAGGAGGAACTGTGAGCCCAGGGAACTGGCCCCAGACGTCCTCCAGCCCTGGGCAGCATCGCGGTCACCTCCTCCAGCGTAGTCTGGGTCACAGAGAAGTCCTCCACGCCGTGGTCAGGGCCGTGAGCCGCCAGCTCCCTGAACACTCGTGCTAGGCCACAGCGCCCTCCCGGTGGCAGCTGGAAGCGTAGGCGGGCCCCGTGTGCTTCCCGAAGCTCAGCCCCAGGGAACTCGGCTGTCACGAAGGCTGCTGCCTGCTCTGGCCGGTTCGTGGGCACCCTCAGGGTCAGCGTGTGGCCAGCCCCAAACCTGGAGAGGACAGCACCAAGGGTGCTAGACTTGCCCACAGCCCAGAGGGCCCCATACCCTGCCCACATCATGGTGGGTTTCTTCAGTCCCAGCCGCATCTGACAGCTCCCACCCTGCACTAGGCCTGTGCCCGCCTGACCCGCTTCCCAACACTTGTGGCTCCACCCTACGAGCCCTAACCCTGATATATCACCACTCACCACTTTCCCAGCGGTCCTTACCTGCAGATCCCACCCACTCACTCAAGCCCTGCCCACAGCCTAGACCCCACCAATCAGGTCACATCTCCCTCCTGGGCCTTTCTATCGAGCCCCTGACTCCACCCCCTGTCAGTCATGTCTGGGACAAGCCCGCTCCCTGGCCACCTCTCCAGTTAGAGCCAGTTTCCCCTCTGGCCCCAGGTCTGGTGGCTCCCTTGTCCTGCCCACATCCCCACATGGACTTGGAGACCTCTCACCCGGGGTGCTCACCTGCTCTTGAGGTGCTGCGCGCTGCCCAGGCAGCGGAACCGCCCATTCACCATGATGGCCAGGCGTGTGCAGAGCACCTCGCACTCCTCCATGCTGCAGGAGGCCGATCCATGAGCGGTGGCCGCGGGCACCTATGCCGTCCTGGCCAGGACCCTCCCTCCAGAGCCAGGCACCCTCTGCCCTGGGATTCCCTCTGGGCCCAGATGCTCTTTTCCTGGACTCGGGACTTTCACCCCCTGCGCATGGCCCCGTGCGGTGGACAAACTCTCCCCGGGCCCGGACCACCTCGATCCTTCGCCCGGGTGTGCGGTGGCGCAGGGCCCACCTGTGCGAGGTGAGCACCACGGCGCGCCCCTCCCGCACCACGGCCAGGAGGCTGTTCCACAGGAAGCGCCGCGCGCTGGGGTCCATGCCGGTGGTGGGCTCGTCCTGGGAAGGGAGGAGGGCACTAAGTCGAGTCTTGCCTCCCTCCCCCACCCCCACCCCGACCCGGCCCCCACGCACCAGAAACACCACTGCCGGGTCCCCCACCAAAGCCACTGCTGTGGCCAGCTTCCGCTTGTTGCCTCCGCTGTAGGTGCCTGCGGGTCTGTCTGCGTACTGCGGGAGCCCCAGGCGCGCCAGGCCCGCGCGGGCGGTCTGCGGGGTGGGGCCAGGCCAGGCAAGGGGCAGGACCAAAGTGGACAGGGGTGTGGTTAGAGAGAGCAAGGAGGGGCAGAGTGGGAGAGGGATGGGAACAGAGTGGCTATGGGTGGGGCCAGGGGTAAGGGGCGGAGCCATACTGGAAGTGGGGCAGGCCATAGGGAGTATGGGGAGGGACAGAGTGAGCAAGGGGTGGGGTCAGAGTGAACAAGGGGTGGAGCCAGAGTGGGTAAGGGGCGGAGCCAGAATAGAAGCGGGGCGAGGCCACAGTGAACATTGGTCAGGGCTACAGTGGGCATGGGGCCAGACTGACCCAGGGCTGGGGCCAGAATGAGCATGGGGTGGAGCCCCAGTGGATGTGGGGAGAGGTCTGAGAAGGAGCAGGGCCAGAGTGGGTGTGGGGCAGGAAGAGAATGGGCAGAGCTGGGGTGAGCATGGAGTGGGGCCACCCTAAGGATCAGAGCATGCGCGGACCAAGGCCAGAGACAGGTCAAGTGTGGGTAGTGGGGATGCAACCTAAATGGCAAGAGGGAGCCACGAGGGGACCTTGGGTGAAAGACACGAAGCTCTAAATCTAAATCGAGGCCACAGCTGGGAGGTGCATGAGGCAGGGGGGATGAGCGAGCAGGCCAGAGGGGGATGGGGCGGGGGAAGAGCTCGGTAGGGTGGGCGGAGGAGGAGGGCCGAGCTTTGGACCAGGACAGCTGGAATCAGAAGGGTCTTGTGAGGGGTCAGAGCCAAGGCTAGAGGACATTTGTTTGGGTCCGAGCCTGAGAGTGGCCAGGAGGAAATGAAGTACGTCCTGGGGCGGGGGCGGGGACCGACCAAAGGGAGCACGAGATTGGATCTGGATGGTAACTGGGGGCGTGGTCCATAAGCAGGGGCGGGGCTGCCGGGGCGGGGCGGCTCACCTGCACTACCTGGGCCTCTGGGACTCCACGCAGGCGTGCGAATAGTTCCAGGTGCTCACGCCCCGTAAGCAGCTCGAAGATGGCATCCGACTGAGGGCAGTAGCCCATGCGGCGGTGTGCGGCGGCTGGTTCTTGGGCCACGCTGAGAGGCAGGGGACAGGAGGCTCGGGGAAGTGGCCATCCTGGGGCCACATACCCAGGTCTCAGGATCTACCCATCCAGGCCCACTCTGGCCATGGCCGCGTATCTCAGGGCCCAGTCCACAGCCAGGGGGTATGTGGGGACCATGCTGGTGTGGAGCTCTGGCCCTGTCAGCTCCCCCGCCCACCCCCCAGAGTCCCCTCACCTGTGACCTGCCAGCACTGCCTCGCCCCCGCTGGGTAGCGTGTCCCCCGACACCATGCGAAAGGTGGACGTTTTGCCTGCTCCGTTGACCCCCAGCAACCCAAAACACTATGGGATGCATACAGAAGGCGCTCAGTGAGGCCCTGGTCCTGATTTGGCTGAGGTTCCTCATGGGGGGCTGGGGCCAGGGGGAGCCCCAGAAGGTGACTGGGATACATCAAGAGGCAGAGCTGGCATTTAGTGGGGGTGCTGGGGTTTGTCTAATGGATTCAGGCACACAGCAGGTGTTCTATGAGGTAACGCACAAATACCAGGGGCAGAGACTGCCATGTGCATGCTGGACCACAGTGGGTACGCATGAGAAATGCCACCTGCTCCCCATCTCGGCCGGGTGTAGTCTGCCCGAACTGAGAGCATGGCTACCGCAAGGCAGGTGCTTGGGAAGAGGTTCTTAGTGTATGCTAGCATCTAGGGTGTTTGCAGATGTAAACAGATACCCGATAGGTGCCACTGAATGGCACGCGGTAAACAAGTTGCTCAGCACATAGGTGTGCATGTGAATTGGGACAAAATGGGCTGCTTAAGAAGTGTTAGCGCCCAGGGCTTTAGCTCAGTAGTTCTACCGCCTGCCTTGCAAGCACAAGGACCCAAGTTCGATCTCCAGTACCAAAAAGAAAAAGTGTTAGCTGTGAGCAAGTGCAACATATGGGCCTGTATATAGTAGGGGCTCCATAAATGCTTGATAAAAGGTGACTGACACAAAAGTAGTATTCAGTACACCTTTGGTGACCATATGGGGTGTTCAGTAAATGTAACTATAGACCAAAACAAACAAGGCCAGGAGTAGTGGCACAGGCCTACAATCCCAGTACTAGGGAAGCTGAGACAGGAGAATCACCATGAATTCGAGGCCAGTCTGGGCTATGTAGGGAGATCGAGTCTCAAAAAACCAAACCAAACCAACCAACAAACAAACATAAGCATGCAATAGGTGCTTTTTTTCTTTGTGGTCCTGGGGAT